GAGCGTGTTCAGAGGGAGGACATTCTAAATCAGGACAGCTATCATGTTTGTGGAGGAAACCATTAGTATTAAGGCGATAAATCTGTAAACATGATCGAGAATTGCCTCTCCTAACATTCCCAGTGGCGTCATTTCTTTGATTTCTAGCTTCCTCCCGATTACCATCCATCCAGCTGGTTAAGATGTGTGAATAAAGTACGACGTGATGAGTCAAGGCTGTACACTAATGATATTGTTCATGCTATCTGACAGTACACCCAATATTATTGGTTTCCCATGTACAATGTGAGTATGGGCACCAGTAACGCAGTGGAATAGAGTATGCAGTGTGTCCCTCCCTCCACATACACTCATTGTGGAGGAGGCAACACTGGCTGGTCACTCATTCGTTACTCTCAACTTCACTTTCCTAAACCACAATTGACTCTCTGATTCTTCCGAAAATCAGCGCTCACTCAATTTTTTAAGTTAACTGGTTGCATGATGCCTGAGGTAAGAGTTCATATGAAGGCTTTTCGAGGTTTACATACACAGGAGTCTTGACCGGCACCCAACCTCCGACATCTGCTGTTTTCCCTGCTACTCGCACCACTCACCATCCCTCACCACCTCTCACTACCTCTCACCACCCCTCACCACCCCTCACCACCCCTCACTACCACTCATTACCCCTTATTACCCCTTCACCACCCCTCACAACTCACCACCCCTCGCACAAACTGCACACCACTACCACTATTTACCTTGAAACGATACACAGGAATGGCTTCTCGCTTCACTGGCACCATCCTTAGGAATTCACAGAGTCCTGTTCAGTTTTGACCTGGTCAGCTTCTTCGAAAATCCCGCAGGTAGCCCCCCAAACGTGTGACATATACATACATACATACATTTATACATACATATACAGACATGCAATAAGATTACAGTAAACAGGTTATATCACAATATGCAGAACAACCACTGGGAAAAAATAGTGAACTTTCAAGAGTTTCCAAGCGGTTGGAAGTTTATTATTTTTTCAAGCTGGTTGTTTTGAATATGCATGCATGCATACATACATACGTATATGCAAACATATGTGCATGCATACTTGCCTAAGCTGGAGCTTAGTTTTTGTCAGCAGTTTCCTAACTTGACGTTCCACACTCACTTGGTCCCTGACTTGACGTTCCACACTCACTTGGTCCCTGACTTGACGTTCCACACTCACTTGGTCCCTGACTTGACGTTCCACACTCACTTGGTCCCTGACTTGACGTTCCACACTCATCTGGTCCCTGACTTGACGTTCCACACTCACCTGGTCCCTGACTTGACGTTCCACACTCACTTGGTCCCTGACTTGACGTTCCACACTCACCTGGTCCCTGACTTGACGTTCCATACTCACCTGGTCCCTGACTTGACGTTCCACACTCACCTGGTCCCTGACTTGACGATGTTCCTCACTCACTCGCACACCTGAGAAGGTGAACCCTCCCTATACAAACAAGTTTCCGTCTTTTTTAATTTTCTGAAGAGGAATTCGGTGGGGATCGAAATATACAAAAAAAATTTCCGTGTTTCTTTCTCCATGTAGTTAAAACTTGCGATTTTGGCTTAAATAGCAACGCTCTTCTTGCCGAATAAGGCAAGTGAAAATTTGTGTATGCAATAATTTCACAAAAATCGTTCTGAACCTAACGAAAGAAATATATTTCAGAACATAAGAAAGAAGAAACATTGCAGCAGGCCTACTGGCCCATGCGAGGCAGGTCCAAGTCATCTCCCGGCTTAAACCAATGATCCACATAGGTAGATCAGATCACATCCACTTAAAGAGCACGGCATCAGACCTATTAGCACAAGCTAGTCAGGTCCAACTCACACCCACCCACACACCCACTCATGTATTTATCCAACCTATTTTTAAACCTACACAACACAACATTTTAGCTTCTATGACGGTACTCGGGAGTTTGTTCCACTCATCCACAACTCTATTACCAAACCAGTGCTTTCCTATATCCTTCCTGAATCTGAATTTTCCCAACTTAAAATCATTGCTTCGTGTCCTGTCTTGGCTAGATATTTTTAGCACGCTATTTTCATTCCCTTTATTCCTGTTTTCCATTTATACACCTCAGTCATATTCCCCCTAATTCTACGCCTTTCTAGAGAGTGAAGGTTTAGGGCCCTCAGTCTATCCTCATAGGGAAATTTTCTGATACATGGGATCAACTTTGTCATCCTCTTTTCTACGTTTCCAGAGCATTAATATCCATTCTGTAATACGGTGACCAGAACTGTGCAGCATAATCTAAATGAGGCCTAACCAAGGATATATAAAGTTGAAGAACAACCTGAGGACTTCTGTTGTTTATGCTCCTTGATATAAAGCCAAGGATTCTGTTCGCTTTATTGCGAACACTTATGCACTGTAAGAAGGCACTGGAGAGGCACTTCAAGTCAGTTCCTGACCAACCGGGCTGTTGTTCGTATGTCATCTTGCGTGCTGCCAGCAGTAACAGCCTGGTTGATCAGACCCTGATCCACCATGAGGCCTGGTCTCAGACCGAGCCGCGGGGACGTTGACCCCCGAAACCCTCTCCAGGTAAACTCCAGGTAAACTGTTGTCTTGGTTTTAGATTACTGCTAACCAGAACTCCCAAATCTTTTTCGCAATCAGTAATATTAAGATCTACAATATTTAGTTTATATGTGGCATGGTTATTTTCCTGTCCAATGTTTAGAACTTTGCATTTGTCTATATTAAACTGCATCTGCCACTTCTCCGACCACTGCATCAGTCTATTCAAATCTTTCTGGAGTGCTCTAATGTCCTCGTTTGAATGAATTGGACGGCCTATTTTGGTGTCATCGGCAAACTTGCTTATGTCGCTATTTATTCCCTCATCTATGTTGTTTATATAAATTGTGAACAAAGGACCCAACACTGACGCCTGTGGAGCACCGCTCGTGACGCTTCCCCACTCTCATTTCTCCCCATTTATGCAAACTCTCTGCTGCCTATTTGTCAGCCATTTCTCTACCCAGGAAAAAATTTCTCCTCCTATTCCATGTGCCTTAATTTTCCTCAATAGCCTCTGATGTGGAACGCTACCAAAAGCCTTACTAAAGTCCATATACACAATATCATATTCATTACCACGATCTACCTCCTCGGATACCTTGGTCAGAAAAAGTTAATAAATTCGTAAGGCAGGAACGCCCCTTTGTAAAACCCTCCTGAGATTCTTTAATAAATTTATGCCTGTCAAGATGGCTACAAATTGCCTCGGCAATTATTGATTCCAATAAATTTTGCCACTGTGGAGGTGAGGCTTATTGGTCTATAAAAATATATTTAGTTGGATTAGGTTAAATTAAATTGCGCTTATAATAAGGTTACGTAAGTTTTCTAACGTTCTTTTGGTATAAATTTATTAATTTTTACATTAACATAAATGACAAAAAAATATATCTTTAAACGTATAAGAGAAAATGTTAGAAAGGACTTAATTTTAAACAAGTTCTTGCTAATTGACTAATTTTACGTATTCGGCACGACATTATATATATTATATATATATTATATATAATATATATTATATATAATATATAATATATTATATTATTATATATATAAATCTGTATTTATATAATAGTGATGCGACCTGCAAGTGAGCTCGGATCAAGCGCCATCACTACCAGTGCTTTAATTAATGAGGTTTTCATTATCCTCGTTTTATATTGAAATTTAGACAGCTTCAATTACACTTAAGTCCGTTAATGTTCTGTTGTAATTGCAACGTGCGTGTTGCAACAATGATACATGTCCCAGTCTTATGTTGTGGCTGATATGTTAGTGTTGGATGTTGGAAGAGTCTGGTGTGTCAACACACTCTGCTGGCAGGATCAACTGGTCGGTTTTGCACCAAGGTTGTTTGTTCTTAGAAGGCCTAGCAGAGGATTTGTATGATAGGAAGGCTTTCTACTTATTTAAGTTTTTATATCGTGATAAAGATTAAGACACGTGCATCAGCTGGGGAACGTTATTAATGAAACTTTTATTAATGAAATATTTCGAAGACAAAGGGAGCAGTAGAAGTGTTTAAAAACCAGACTTTCGTGTTATATATATTTGTGTGGGTGTGTGTGTGTGTGTGTGTGTGTATGTGTGTGTGTATGTGTGTGTGTGTGTGTGTGTGTGTGTGTGTGTGTGTGTGTGTGTGAGGAAGTGTAGGTGAGCATGTGTGGGAGGTAGAGTGAGGGAGGAAGTGAGTTAAGGGGAGAGAGAGAGATATAGAGAAAGAAAGAGAATACGAAAGAGGAGTGATGGAAAGGTAAGGACAGAGTGGGGAAGAGTGTGAAGGAGGGTGAAAAAGGAAAAATCAGGGAGGGAGAAAGAGAGAGAGGGTGAGTGTAAGGGTGTGAAGGAAAGAGAGAGAAAGATACGGGAGGGGGGGGGGCTGTGAGGGAGATTATTGTATCACCAATTATAAATTCTCAACCAGGTTCTCTTCATATAATTATCTCCTCTCTTGTTACATTTTCGTACTTCCAATTTTTTTATTGTTGTTATTTATAAACTACTAAGAAAGTCCTTTGGTGAGGCAGAGAAAAACGTTGATGCTAGAGAAGGACTCTAGACTCAAGAAGTTAGTTATCCTTCCCTTCCTAGGATAAAACATTTATTACCTTTCATTTCCTAGGTTATGAATGACCTGTAATAATTTTGTTTCAGTATGCAAAGTTCGTTTAAATTTATAACCTGGCGCTGTTTTATTCTAACTTAATCATTTGAACTATAAACATCTTAAATTCAGTGGAAAATTTGGTATTTCTTAAAATTACATATGGGCCAGTAGGCCTTCTACAGTGTTCCTCCATTCTTATGTTATCTCCCCAACTATTCTGAATGACCCACCTGGGTTTAGCACTTAACATGAATTATTATCCCCCCAAAATTAATAATACAATACTGATGTGCGTCTTCATTTTTTCCAGGTTTCTTCAATAAACGGCCGCTAAAATTAATACCACAAACATGGAGGCTGAAATGAAGTTGAAAAGTGACACTGAAACAGTTGGTGTATAGACTGAGCTGGTGTATCTGACAGTACATGCCATGTTGTAGGCATGGAGCAGCATGTCTCTCAGCCCTGCTGGCGACGGCGGAGTTTGTGTTCGTAATTTGCTAGCTTGTGTTGCTTGCTTCAGTTTTAAACTGGATAGCATTACATTTGAGTAGAAGCGCTAAAGCAGCAGGGGAGGTCATAAAGCACCCATGAAGGGGTTGTATACTGAAGAAAGTTCCTTCGTTAACTGACTAGAGTGAAGCTATCCAGGGGAATTAAACCTGCTGTGTATACTATAATTTTTAAGTGGTTTGTGTGATAATTCGAAGTTAATTATCGTTTTTTTCAATTAGGAAGAATAAGTGTTTTGATCAGTTGGTAATTAACTCGACTAATGGTAATTAACACTTAAGCCCTGTATGGCTGATCTTAGAATAAAGTTACACTCCATTCACTTTTCCCTTTTCATGCCTTCGTATTATAACCTAGTGTACATGGATCATAGAGGCAGAGCGTTGAGTGCCTCTACTACAGAGTGCCATAGTGTCTCTCACAATGTGTTGAGTACCGAGTGATGCAGTGTGCTACCCACAAAATGGAAAAGATTCCAATGAGTCGTGGCACTAGTCAGTTCAATGGGAAATACGACTATTATTGCGACTATACATACGACCCTGTCCCTGGATACACAGAGTTCGAGTACCAACCATCCAACAAACCACCCACTCTACACCTCCAGCCTCAGAACACACACAAATACTCCCACGCTGAGAAGGATAAGGACGACCCCAGGTTAGCAGCGGGAGGATTAGAGATTGTAGAAACTAGACCGGCGGAAACTAGATGTGTTAGAGAAGACGCCGAAGGAGTGGAGAATAGAGGAACCAGAGACCAGGAAAGAGGAGGAGGAGGCGGAGGAGGAGGAAGAAGAGAAGGGGAAGAAAGAGTGCGTATAGAGGGAGGAAGAGAAGTGGATAAGCGGTGGTGTCCTCTAGTTATCATCTTCCTGATCCTTCTAGTAGTCATCTTCCTGGTCGTGGCGGCTCTCATCCTGTACTTCAACTGTAAGTATTAGTTTTCCTTTCTGTTATCAAGCCATCCTGGCAGCACGAATGGTGCTCGTACAAATTTGCACTTTGCATGGTTAAGCTCACTCGCCAAGCTGCCAAATGTGTCAAGTTCTTTATTTTAAATTTTCATATTCGTGGTTAAATTCTTGGTTAATGTATCATAAACACCGATCAGTGAAGGTGAGAAATTACTTCAACAACTGAAACACAGGTAAAAGACCCGAGTCTAACTCCTCATCAGAAGATTGTTTCAAACTGTAGCCGAAATATACAGAATTGTTTTTCCCGATGTTTCAGTTATCTGTCGAAGTGGTTTCTTATTAGTGGTGTAACTTTCCACATTTCTGGAACCCAGTCCACCCGAACATAACCTAACCCAGTCCAACTTAACATATCCCAGGATAACGTAACCCGGCCCAACATGCCCTAACATGCCTTACATTACCTAACTTAAGGAAAACAGAATTTGTAGTTGTAAGAATCGTTAAGAAGTTGACGCTGTTTGGACAGTGAGGAAAAAATGAACGTATTATATTGAGGATAAGTGTGTGTGTGTAAATAAATCCTTCTCAATTATATACGGAAAGTATCTTCTTAAAAACTTCACATTCTTATACCCGATTTCTTTTAAGTTTTTTCTTTGTCCTAAAATACTATTCTAACACACGAAACCACAACAAAAATCGCCTTTTCCATATTACTGATATTCTATTAACCTACATTTTGAAAAACATTTGTTGGGGAATATAAAGATATTTTAGTCTACGAAATGTGGCCCCAAAAAAGGGGTAATATATGAAGCCCACATCAATAGGGGATTAATGTGAATGATGATATGAGCCAAGTCTTGCCTAGTTGTACGTCCATCAGGCAAATTGGCTTCGGTAAAAAACCTGCAGCCTCTTATAACGATGACAAATGCTCAGCGCTCTCCTGAGTGTGTCCTCGCGCTCTCTCGAGACTCCTCGCTCGAGGCCAGGCAAAACGCGGTAACGACGAGCAAGAAGGTTAGAAAAAGAAACTACTGTGTGTGTAAAGGAACAAGTCAGGTCAATGTTGTGCTGGATGACCTGGTCTTGAATACGCGGTGGAGAAAGTGGAAGGTTGGGTGGTCTCACGGGGAGAGGTTATACAATTTGCGAGGTTGTGTGTGGGTGAGGTTAGATGTGGGCTCCGCTCTGAAACCACCAGTACCACCCTGGTACTCTGGTATGACTGCTAGTGAAGCCACCAGTTCCACCTTGGTACTCTGGTATGACTGCTAGTGAAGCCACCAGTTCCACCCTGGTACTCTGGTATGACTTCTGCTATTCAATGAAGCTACCAGTGCCACCCTTGTTCTCTGGTATTATTGCCATCCATCGAAGCCACCAGTGCCGTCACCCTAGTACCCTGGTATTACTGTCACCCTAGCACCAGTAAAACCCAAACGGGTGCATACGTCAACAATGCGGGTTATGACATTTACTTAAGAAGATTTTTCGTCCAGTAGATCCTCTTTCCCGAAGGTTGCCTGACTTACAACACAGGAACTCTTTCGGCGTAAATGGTGGAGATATTTTCCCTTTCGTTTAAATTTCCTCACACTCTTGAAACAAACTTGGAATGCTTAACGAACACTGAGTGAAAAATTGCTTTTTGAGAATAAATTGGTCACGACAGCAGCAAGTTGAAAGTGACAGTAAAAATTGTTAATATGTAAGGAACGAAATATATTTCAATCACTGAAAGGTTCTAGTTGTTTGTAAATAAAATAGAACAATAACAACCTTCCCAGAGAAAGTGAAATTTAGCTCAAATTCCTTGGATTAATTTATGAAATTTAATAGGAACACATTAGTTTAGCATAGCTGTGTTTATACAGTACAAACTAACTGGTAATTTATAGCCCACTTGACGTAACTTCACATATTAGAACTAATTATTAATACCATTAAGTTAGCCTCTGAGTGAAGGATGTGTTGGTGATACCACAACTGCTATAATAATAATAATAATAATAATAATAATTATAATATTAAAAGCTCTAATAATAATGTAAAATAATGGTAATATTAAAATATCAAAGCTATAATAATTTATACAAAGATTTTTTCCATGGACAAGTCGATACTTATTCTTGTGTCCATCAGCTGCGATGTAAACAAACTAGTAACGCACGTTTCGCTCGAAGTGAAAATTGCTGAGCTAGTTTCGCTCTCCATTTGATGGAATTAGAGTGAAGAGGCACTTAACAGAGTGTAGAGATTAGTAGTGGCAGTAGCCCGGCGTGGGTTGGCACTAGTCAGTGGCTGGCATCAATATTTAGGCAGGGTGGCGAGATTGGTGGCACCACCAACACTGGTGGTGACACAACTAGCACCACCACCATTGGTAGTGATGTGACTAGCACCATCAACACTGATAGTGGTGATGCAATTACCACCAACTCTGTGATGATATAACTATCACTCCCAACAGTGGTAGTGGTGATACAACTAGCACCACCAACATTGGGACAATTAGCACCAACACTGGTGAAACAACTAGTATAACCAACACTGGTAGGGACAACTAGCACCACCAACACTGGTAGGGACAACTAGCACCACCAACACTGGTAGGGACAACTAGCACCACCAACACTGGTAGGGACAACTAGCACCACCAACACTGGTAGGGACAACTAGCACCACCAACACTGGTAGGGACAACTAGCACCACCAACACTGGTAGGGACAACTAGCACCACCAACACTGGTAGGGACAACTAGTACCACCAACACTGGTAGGGACAACTAGCACCACCAACACTGGTTGGACAACAAGGGCCAACATTACCTTTCCATAAGAACAATGAGAACGAAGATTAAGGATAGAACTTGCCTGCTTCCACGACGTTATCTCTCACTACACCATCAACTTCAACCTCTTATCTCTGGCCTTCGGTGGAGGGCCATGAGGGCCTTCAGCAGGGAGGTGAGGGCCATGAGGGCCTTCAGCAGGGAGGTGGGAGCCATGAGGGCCTTCAGCAGGGAAGTGGGAGCCATGATGGCTTTCGGCAGGGAGGTACAGGGCCATGAGGGCCTTCAGTTACGAGGCGGAGGGCCTTAGGGCCTTCAGCTGGGAGGTGGAGGGCCTCAGTGACTCTAACATGCAGGTGGATTACCTTCGGAATCCTATGAAAGGAACCATTGCGTCCGTCAAACTATCTCTTCCCCCCCCCCCCCAAGAAAAGGAATCCTTCGAAGTAGGAGAGGAGAGACCTGATAAGCTTCGATTATCTGTTGCTTCTGCTGATGATGATGATGATAATATGATATACATCAAGGTGAGACACTTAAACTTCACACAGTAATGTTTATTACCTATGCAGCTTGTGAGATGAACATTAGGGCAGTACAAAGACAGTATCTTAGTGTCCATATTTCTAGTCTGTGTCTTCTAGCCAAAATGAATATGTTCCATTAAACAATGCAGTCAATGCTTAGCGATAGATTACGAGAAAGACGCATTTTCGGCAATTATGGCAGTGATTAAGAAGATGTTATTGGGTTTATTGGATTTGTAATGGCTTTTATTGGCAAAACTTATATGCTTAATTATGTTCTAATCTTGTTACAGCCCTCGCATTATTATTATGTATTATATATTCCGCCTACGTTTGCTAATGTTTGTCGTTTTTTAAAGTATTTCCCTTCTGTTCGTCTCTGTGAAGAGGTGTAACCCAAGTAACAAGACACACATGCAATTAATGTGACATTTTATTGTGGAAACGTTTCGCTTTACAGGAGTTTTCTCAAGTAACGGCTTGGTGAAACTTCTGGAGAGCGAAACGTTGTGACTATAAAATGTCACATAAGTTGAATTTGTGCCCTTTTTACCTAATATTTTGTCGGTAATTCCACCATTATTACTAACTGTTACCTAACTTTTTCATACATTTTGGGGTTCCTTTGACCAAGTGACAAGGGATCTCCAACTCTGTTGAGACAAAATGGAACTAATGGATATAATCACTAATTTTAAAGCTATCTTAGGAGTTTTGACATGATATATGGAACTCTTGGTGGAATTTGCTGAGTCTCTTATTGCTACTATGGCCATAATTTTTAAAGGGGTGGAGGGGTAAGCCAGCGGAAGGCCTCGGTCAGATGACCAAAAGACTCCAGCTGCGGGTCATCATATGAATGAGACCCGCGTCAGGAAACACTCATCTTGTTTCCTGACAAACCTTACCTAACCTAATGTCCCTATTCCTAATTTTAGTAATAAATTTAATATCTCGTGTTTGCCTATTAATAAAAGAAAAACATTTCTTATTAACGATTTCTTTTAAATATAAATAAATGTGAAAACTCCTGAACTATTTTCAGGTTTTTATTTCTTGTGCAGTTTATTCTAGAATTTTTCAAAATTTTGCAGCCTTGTTGTCCCATTGCTGTGAAATATCGCTCAAAGACGAGCAATAAAATGTCCCAATAAAAGTAATACGCCGTTTTGCCGTCCCCCCCAAATACTGTTATCCTTCTTAGCTGCCTAGTTTGCCTATTTATGTGTGTGTGTGTGTGTGTGTGTGTGTGTGTGTGTGTGTGCGTGTGTGCGCGTGTGTGTGTGCGTGTGCGCGCGTGTGTGTGTACTCACCTAGTTGAGGTTGTAGGGGTCGAGTCCAAGCTCCTGGCCCCGCCTCTTCACTGGTCGCTACTAGGTCACTCTCCCAGAACCGTGAGCTTTATCATACCTCTGCTTAAAGTTATGTATGGATCCTGCCTCCACTACATCGCTTCCCAAACTATTCCACTTCCTGACTACTCTGTAGCTGAAGATATACTTCCTGACATCCCTTTGATTCATCTGTGTCTTCAGCTTCCAACTGTGTCCCCTTGTTGCTGTGTCCAATCTCTGGAACATCCTGTCTTTGTCCACCTTGTCAATTCCTCTCAGTATTTTGTAAGTCGTTATCATGTCCCCCCTATCTCTCCTGTCCTCCAGTGTCGTCACATTGATTTCCCTTA